GAATGCCATCGGCATGTATTACTATGTAACTGGCATATGGGGCCGTGCATAAATTACGTAACGTAATTTTGGAGTATTTTGAATACCTCTCTCCCCCCCCCCCTGTAACGTGCTCCTGAACCCGTCATAATTATTAGTAACGCTTACGACTTCCTCTCCTCATGTAAATGCAAGTGAAAATAAATTATAGCGCAGTAAAAACAATAATTTGTATTTATTTTCTGTTGTATACTAAAATCTATAATAATTAAGGTCGGAATTAGTTGGCGACACATCCCAATAAAATAGGGCACAATTTGTGAGTGAAAGAAGGACGCATAAGTATTTTTTTATCACAAGCCAAGCCGTGCGCTCACCGATGTGGATGACGCGTGGGCGTGAGTGTACTGCGTCAATAAATGAATTCTACAGTATACATCACTTTTGAATATTTTCTTCGTAATTCGTAATTTTTTTCTTCTTACAGACTCAATAAAAAATTGATGAAATAATATTCCCATTTATCGCAACAATTGACATCTAATAACTTTGATTTCTTTACTTTTTTAACAAATTAATTAGTTATTTTTTATTATAAGAAAAGAATTATTCAGCAAATGTTGAAAAATGTACAAAAAACGTAACAATAACCTAATACCCCAGATCCGTAATGAAAGCAGCATAACACGGCCTCAAGCAACGCCACCGAAATTACTATTGTTATTTCGGTTGCGTCGCCTCAACCCCCCTTCCCTCTTTAGCGTTACGTAATTTATGGACGACCCCAATAGACATTTAAATTGTTAACAATCACTTTAACCATATTTGCAACGTTTCGAGGCACATTGTGGCCCTATCATCAGGTGTAAACTGCAATACAATTAAAATATCAAAAAGTTAGAAAATTTTATTCTTGAATTTACAATAATAATAAACCAATTTTGTGATAAAATTGGTTTATTATTATTATTATTGTAAAATATAATTTTACTTGCTATATTTTTGTAATTTTAAGTTATTTTATTTATTACTGTTTATACTGGATGGGGCCAAAATGTGTGTAAATAAAGTAATGTAATTGTTAACAACTTAAATGTGTGTAACAAAGGAAAAATAACAAATAAAACAGAAACTAATTCTTCAAAAATGGCATATAGGATCCGACACTCGAGTCAGAATAGCAAGGACTGGTCCTAAGCTAGCAGGTTGTGCCTGCTCAATATAGCAAATCTTAAGCGGTGAGAACAAACAAAAGTGTGGGTGTATATCCAAGTTAACTATATGATTTCAATAAACCTCTTTTTCATCGCACAAAAACTGTTTGAAGGATTAGTAGTACCCATTCATATACGTCGAGCTAGTTGGATTTAATCACGATTTCCCCAAGTTTCGATATCACGACCATTTGGGTGGACAGCCGGATAAACTCGATTCAATTTTCTCAAATTCAGAGGGTTATTTACTCAACTGCCTTCGATACGTCATCAATTTCTCTCATCATTGCAAACATATGTGTCCAGGGTGCCACAGATTATCTTCACAATGGCAGTGACTATTTCTTCTTAATTTTCTATATTTTATGGTTACATCTTGATAATCATATTTTTGTCTTTATTTTACCTCAATCAACCCAAAAACTCTCATTTTAATTATCAGTACGTCTTTCTATTAGATCTCAAATGTTGACAAAAATGTTTTTCGATACCAACCACCCCAAACATCAAACAATAGGGATGTGAAATCAATCTCTGGGATTGCCGACAATCGGGTTACAGTTAATATTCCATCCAATGAGTTCACTACCGATTGCCAAGTCCGAATTCTAAACTATAATAATAATATGAAATAACAATACATGTTAAAGTGTGTTTTGTGTAATTTGAAATGTATTAAATATTATTTGAAAACTAAGGTTTTGCGGCTACACCATATTTAACATATTATTTAACACACTACACTACATATTTAATCAATAATGCTTTCGATTCAAAATGTATAAAAACGTTTACAAATTATTAAGAATGTTTTAAAAAATTGTATACTTCTTTCAAAATTTCGTCTTATCTTATCTCCTTATTGATCCACTGAAGCGAAATATTTTTATAAAATATTGATGGAACTACTGTTGACGATCTTCGGATGTCCGAAACGTGGCAAACCTATTCTTCATCACCGCCATTTTGCAATGGCGCCAGGTCATATATCGAGGGAATAAAGTACGAGCGGGCTGTTTTCATAGCATGCAAATTAAACTCGCTGAAAAGACTTAGCACATTCAAACTGACCATGCTTCATTCCTGGGTTAGAAGTGCCGAGAGACACTTGCAGTAACTATGAGGTAGGAACGCCGACAAAAAGGAGTGGGGTTCCGCTTGGAGAGAGACGAGAAAAGAAATAACGAAAAATATAAAAAAATTAATTAGAAAACTTCACAGCCCAACTTTAGCATTAAATGTATCTACATCCACAAATACCTTCTTTCGAAATCATTCATGAATATCGATAACATTGGGGAACAAGATTTTTACCTCCAGGAAGGTACAGTGCGTCACGTACTCAATTATATACATAGATTACGAATACCACAATAAAAACGTCATATCACGTCACGGTTGTTAAATATACCTTATCTTTATACCACATCACGCCGTATTCTGCTATTAATGCAAATACATTAAAATTGCACCTGTAAGACATGTTGTATCAATATGCATAAAATCTATTAAAAATAAAATATCTGTTCAGTTTATCTATGCCACTTTTATAAGAGACAAACAAAGGTAGACTCACGTGTTTTCATTTTTTACCTGCTGCATTCGAAGATTGTCGTCTTTATTCCCACCTCTGATAGTCGTTCTCAATTAGGAGTAGGTCTTAGTGGATGGTTTTCAAAACAAGTCACCTACACCTTCATATTTTCTACTGAGCATCAGTCTCCGAAATGAATCATTTTAATCCCATTCCTTATCGCCAGTATACAAGTATCCAAATGTTGGGGTGGATTCTGAGTCTGTCGGTGTCATGCGGAACCCGCAGTGCGCGTGAAGTTCGTGTCTGGTTTGCGTGAGCCTCAAATACATTAATACATTATAGTTGTGTAGTTTTTATAAAGTGATATTCACCGCATGATCTGTAGAATTGAATCAGTTCGATAAGATACAAATCGTCATTTCACATCGAAAGTGTGCGAATCAACCCTATAATTTCTGTTACGTTTGTGGAAGATTTACTCTCAAACTTCAGAGGGAAAAAATATATGAAATTACAAAACTTGCGTATTCTTTATACTTTGGCTGTCGTGTTTGTGATAAGGAGAAAACATAGGCTGCTCAGCAGTGTTGTGTGACCTGTACAAGGAACAGACCTTAGGTTGTGGTTGTAGGGAAAACGAAAATCATAGACATTCACTCTACCAATGTTGTGGACAATACCAACAAACCATTTTAATGTTAGCATATTATAGCACGATTATGCGTTTTACTTTTTATCTTGTTCTTACATCATATGAAGCTTGATCATAAAATTTTGTAGTAACATAACCAGAGAGACAATGTGGAAATTAGTATCGGATTTTGTTTATTTCAAATACTAAACATGTGTACATCTTTTGAACCTTGCGTGATAGAAACTTTTTATAATGATTTTCAAAATCAACCTGACCCTTCCCTTTGAAATCACGTACTCTTATCCTGGAGGTATAAACAAAATAGTTTTTGGCCCCTAGTTTAATTAGTGAAGGAGATGTGTCTGATGTTGCGTTTGCTGTTTATTTCTTCCGTTATTGCCGTTTGTACGTTCGTACTGTGAAAGGTCGTAAAACGCTTTACTGCATTATTTGAACAATGAAGCTCGTACGAAACACTAATAAAGAATCTAGATTTGAGGTTGAGGATGAAGGGTCGGGAGGAAAGGGGGGGGGCGGGCGGCTGGTGTGTGGCGTCGGCGCGTGCTTACCTCCAGATTCTTGGCGTGGACGGCGAGGTAGGGCAGGGGCGCCGTCACCGCCACCGAGATGACGACGTCGCCGCTGAAGGTGCCGGTGGCGAGGTCGGGCCGCAGGGTGAGCAGGTAGTGCAGGGGCTGCGCCTGCGGCGGCAGGCGGAACGAGTCCTCCCAGGGCCCGTGGGGCAGCGCGTGGGGCTGGCTGTGGCCCGCCGCCTGCGCCTGCTGCGTGGCGGGCGCGTCCTTCATGGCGCCTCGGCCCGCCCACGACGAGGAGGAGGGCGCTGGCGGAGAAGCGGACGATGAGGC